CCGCGGGACGTGCCCTTTGCGATCGCCATCTCTACGGGACGGCTTAGGTCCATCGGGACCGTCCGGGGGTGGAGATATTGGCTGCCATCCTGGGAGCCCAGGATCGCCCGCCGTATCGCCGCGACGCCAGCTCCGCCCTCCATGGGATATACATGTTCTATCCTCATACTGGGATATTCATTAATTAACACAGACTTAATTGTGTGCTTATGTTCAAGTTTCTCAGACAGTAGTAAAAGCACTGAAGGAGTCAGGAATTTTAACTTTTTTTAAGGAAGAAAAAATAGAATACACCTTGGCTTTACACTAAGTAACTTTATAATATAGATGAATACATAAAATTTTCCATATTGTTAACTATATGTAGAAGGGAGAAAAAAGGATAAAGGAAAATAAAGGTGTAGCAGCACTAATTGAGATACAAGGAACGTATGTGCTTGTATTATTATTATTATTACTTACACATTAGATCAGCAGTGTCTACTCGCCTGATGAAAATTATATAGTTATATATATATTTCAGCATAATTATGACTGCTGCAAATAAATGGATGTATACACAAAGTCTTCTAATTGAAATGTTTGCCAATATATTTTCAAATAATACTCTGAAGGAAAGACAGTGACATATTTATCTCCAGAAAGAAATAAAGTTAATATCACATGTATTTATTAAATCAGCTAACAGAGCTCTTACCCCAATGTAAAACTTACACTTGTTATAATGTAGTGTTTCCCTGTCCTTCAAGTCAGCAACACCTCGCACATCAGGTTTCTATCGATATAGCCAAGTCTCCAGAATACATTAACAGCTACAATACATTTCACAACCTAATAAACTGCTGGTAAACAGAAAACTGATTCTCAGCTAGAATTTCCTGTAAGCAAAACACTGTATATTACATCACATAAGAGCAATAGTTATTTATCTCACTAAAAAAGCCTGACAATCCCCATCTTGTTCTTGTTCCTATGATAGTTGCCTTGTCCTGTGTTTTCTGTACTTCTGGGTACCATATCCTCCCTCTATCATGCCACTGTGCATTAAGTTTGCAGCACTTCTCCCACTCTCCCCTTCATGGAGGGGGGTTCATGTGATCAGCCCAGTCTTACTGTCAATGGGGAACTCCCACATTCAGGAGACATTAAGATGAAGAGAGGTTCTTGCACCTTAGGAGGGAGTGTGGAATTTGCCATTGGTTATTCATCAACCAATCAGCAACTGATTTAATTAAATAATGTATGAGAATAAAGAGAATGGTTAGTAAGTGGTTGACATTGAGTAGGGATTAAGACAAGAATGGATGATGTCTCTTTAGTTATTCAATGTATTTATGGATAAACATATAAAAACTGCTTGTGATGGCATCTGAGGCTTATTGGTTGGAGAAGTGAATGAGTGTGTACTTTTGTATACAGATGATGCCATATTGCTGGCTGAGAACTTGAATGACTTGCAGAGAATGTTAGGAGAAACATAGTGGTAATACATGGCCTATTGTAAGGAATTAATTCTGTGATAATGGCTGATACAAAAGCTTGCTTCTTCCTGCTTTATTACAGGAAGTGAGAAGCTGGGTATGTCAAGAGAAACATTACAGTTGAATGCAGTGGGAATGGTCTCCTTAAAAGTATGTGTGTAGTAAAGTAAGAAGAGACAGGATCAAGAATGACTGGATGATGAATGAACATGGACTGAATACAAATGTGAATGACCAGTGTGAAAGAAGTACACTGAGAAAATTTCATCATATAGAGAGAATAATGACTGAATCACAAAACAAGCATAGGAAGAAGGAATGGATTCAGAGAAAATAGAGACCAAGAAAATTGAACTTGGACCTCGAAAATAGAGAGATGTGACGTTTAAAAAACAAAAGGCAATATATGAATCAGTGTATGGATATGATAGAAGTAAGGATGGTTTCCAAAGATAGAAAGGTATGGAGAAGTAAAATAAATGGTGGAGTAAACGTACTGTAGGTATGTTTCCTTTTCTTATTTCACGCCTTTAATTCTTTGGCTTAACTGTTTCTTACATTTTTTTCTACCCTCCACATAATGTTGCTTACCCAAGGAATAGTATGACAGGTATAAATGTATGGTAACTTCTTCAAGGATAAGTTACTGAAGCCACTTAATGAAGACTTGGGAAGAGAAAGGAGCACTAGATAAATTAAGCAAAGACAGTCTGTGCATTAAGACTGAAGTCTAAACAAAACAAGTGAGGGTTCTGTGAGCCTGTCTGAAAAAAACAGGCAATGTAGGCTGTTTTTGCTACGAAGGCTGTTTGGAGCATTAACTGGCTTAGATTCCCAGCTTTCCTTAAAAGACTCTATAATAAAACCAAAGATTTAAGGGAAAACATGCACACAGTGTGTAGTAAGAAATGAGCTTAATCTCAACCAAGGAACAAATTGCCTTGAGAGGTGGTGGACTCTTCTTTGTTGGAAGTGTTTAAACAGAGACTACAGTAGATGACCACTGGGGACACTGTAGTAGTAGACTCCTGCACTGGGCAGGGAACTGGACTAGAGATTATCTCAAGTCCCTTCTATGATTCACATTCCGTAACAGAAGCCAGTGGAAGAAATTACTGACCGAATCTGACATAAATGAAGTTTTGTAATAATTGCAAACCTTCAAGTTCTCAAACACTCTCCATCAGAGGAAATGCTACAAATGCAGAGAAAAAAAAAAAAGGGGGGGGGGAAGCTGGCATTCAAGCCAAGCCAGATCAAGTTTAATCTCAACTGGATTGGAACAACTTCCAGGAATACACATTGGGTTGCCAGGCTGTAACTGGGGATTCTTAAAGCTTGTTGGGGGGGGGGGAAGAAGAGGAATAATTTTGGAATAATCTATTTTCAAGAATACAAATTGTGGCCATTAACGTCCCAGCTATGTCTACCCTAAGAATGGACGTATATCCCTTGATAGATGGAGAACAGAAGGGAACTGCAGAAAGCAGAATTCATATTCTGAAAGCCCTAAGAAAATTTCAAGTAGTTTTTTAAAGTTTCAGTATCAGTCAAACTTAAATTAGGTAATTTATGTAGTGGTAGAAAGGAATTCATCTTCAAACCCATTTAGTACAGGTACCTAAACCTGTCGGGTAATTTTAAATGTTGTTTTTCTAGGCTGGGACAAACCATTTTAAGAACAAATATGTGATATCTTCAACAGAATGCTCAAGACCAAGATCTATGAACCATAATGCAAATCTGTGCATAAAAACACAAAGACTCCCCCAAGTTGAGCTTGACTCCATGGATGCATCTATTGGCAATAATGCAGAAATGGTATAACCTCCCGAGATTTTTAAAATACTGTAATTCCTGCTGTCTCCACAGCCATGGGTTTTTCCAATGATCTCTCATTCAAGTACTGATTACAGTAAAGTCTAACAGTGCTTAGCTTTTTCAAGATCAGCCAAGGTTGGCCACGTGCTGCCCAACCCTTCCACTCTTTCTACTGGCCCAAGACCCCAATGCACCCCCAAGCATCCATCTATCTTTTAAAATGTGAAATAAACTCAGTTTATGTATGTATTTATTGGATTTACACCCCGACTTTCTATTCACAACTTTACATCCAAGAATGATGTAAGGCACACATTTCTAAGATCATTGCTTTGTCCAATTGGCACCGAAGAGCCTCTGAAAGCAGACAGCCTAAGAAATCCCACAGAATCATACATTAAAAGGCAACCCACAGCTGCCTCCAGGTAATCGAGTTCCGTGGGTCTTCTGCCTAAATTAAGACGTTATGGAGCGACAACGGGCAACCTGAGGCTTTCTTTGTCGCCCACCGGAGTCTCCTCTGGCCGCTCTCGCTGAAAATTAGTGGCATAATTTTTCATCATACTGAGACACCGCACAGTAAAACCTCGGGGCTACCAACAAGGGCGCCCCCCCCCCACCAGCCGCCCAACGGGCGCCCACCTCTGGAATCCTCCTCCCCTTTGCATAACAGGTGCGCGGCCTGAGGAAGCCACGAACGGGCGGGTGTCGCAAACGCGGGACCCGGGCCAGCGCCAGAGGCGTCCTTTGTCCTTTCGAGCAGGCGAGGCTGCGGGAGGCGTGAGCTCGTGGGGAGAGGCGGCCAGGTCTCCAGAGCAGGGAAGAGGGAGAGAGGAACCCGCGGAGCTCCTTCTGCTTTTCACCCCCCCGTTCTTGCCTGCGGAGGAACTGCCGCCCCAAGACATGGAGGTGGACTACTCGGTAAGCAAACCCGAAGCGAGCGTTGGCTGGAGGGAGAGAAGCGAAACGCCGAGGCTCCCTTCGACTCGAAGAAGCACCTCTCTGCAGTTTCCACCCAGCCAAGCCGAGTTCTTCGCGGCCGCGCAACGCCGAGAGGCGCGACCCCGCTTCCTCTCCCCCGGCGCCCACGCGCCCGCATGCACAGTAAGGGGTAGCGGGACGCGGTGGGGATATGGATTCTGACGGGGCTTACGAAGAAAGCGTAGGGTATGTCCCGGGAATTCGCTGCCGGTTCGTGAAGGTACAGTACTGTACGGTAATGCTCTTTCATCCAAACCAGGTTTGTACAGGAGTGGCAAAAAGATCGATCTCATCTGCCGCTTACTATCATTTCAGCAGGTTTTCTTTTCAAATAACAGAAGAAACGTCACCTGAAGACCTCATGTGTAGGATATACTGTAGGACAGTGTTTCTCAACCGTGGCGAGTTTAAGATGGGTGGACTTCAACTCCCAGAATTCCTCAGCCAGCTGAGGAATTCTGGGAGTTGAAGTCCACCCACCTTAACCTTGCCAAAGTTGAGAAACGCTGCGGTAGAATAATGGCCTTATTAACAGTTCCAGGAAGGCAGATTCAGGCCGCTTCTTTGGAGAAGTTTTCTGACAATAACAGCAATGTCACAACGGTGGAGGACTTCTCTATCTCCCCATTGGATAGGCAGCCCAGATACTTTAAATCTGGATTCCAGCATTGAGCCGAGGTTTTGACTTCATGGCCTAAGAGGCTCCTCCCAACCCCATAATTTTTTGTTTTTGGGGGGATATGGTTGCCAACATCAACATCCCCCCCAACTTTTATAATTTCTTCTTTTATCTCTCTTCTGATGATCTGAAATAATGCAGTTGATGTATTACTTTATCCAGCATGGTCACAAACATTAAAGTTGGCACATAGTGGTAAATTAAAAAGTGCAACCCATATCTGCTCCAACTCTCTGAAAAGCTGGAAACCTGAACTAACCTGTTTACATAGCTGTGTATATCAGCACTAAGACATGTCCTAAGAAAAGTGATAGGTGGGGGTTAGAATAATGCTTTTTGAGTCACAGATAGTTAATAATTCATTCTCCCCTTGCCTTTGATAAACTGAAGGCTCAAATCTTTCCTTAGTCATGAAGCAGCTTCCATGAGTTTTAGACAAGTTGCTCTCTCTCAGGGATATCCTATTTCATGGGTCACTGGTCTTTTTAGTGAGGACACTTGAGATTTTGAGAGCAAGTCACCAAACATCCAGATCAGATGAGTAAAAACCTGGGCAGCAGCCATACACCAATTCGTTTTCTAAGAATGTTTTTGGGTGCCCACAGGCATTGTGGAAATACTGGTTATTCTTGAAACGGGTGCTTTGCTTTACGGCATAATAGCTTCCCATTAATTTTTTTAAAAAAGTATATGAATCTTTAAGAAGTTAGATGGGTTAGGGAGCTCTGCAGGTGCTAAGAACTGGGTTAGCGTGCATAACATTGCCTCTGAATGCCACATGCAGGATCCAGATCCTACTCAGTAGACCTAGAGATGATCAATTCTATGATAAACTGGTTATGAAGGAACACAGCTTTGCAGTGGAGACTTAAGGTTGTAACACATAAAACTACGTTTTCATTCTTTTTGTACGCCTCTGCTTTTCTTTTCTTTTCTTTTCTTTTCTTTTAGACTAGTTCCATCATGCTTGCTGTGGCTGCAACTCTGCCACCTATCCTGTATTACCTCTATAAAAAATATGGAACTCAGAAGAAGAAAGATCCAGTTACCTTGCAGAATCCAAGTGTCAAGTATCCATTGTGTTTGATAGAGAAAGAGGTGAGCTTTTAGTTCTTTTTTGGCTTGAATGTATGAAGATGCCATATAACACTCTGATTGACAGCCATGTCCCAGGTTGGATATATATTTTCTAAATGAGAGATTGCAGGGGTTGAACCTGAGGCCCTTTGCACAGAAAGTGTGTGCTCTGATACAGAACTGTGTCTCCTTGGGAACATTAACATTTGATCTTGTAAAATTGGCTTAGAAGTATTTCCCCATTCTTCCAAGGCCATAAGTGTGCCAGGTTATTCGGCAATTCTGCTATTGGAACATTGCATAATGTTTAGTAACGGCACCTCTCACTTACTGCAGCAGAAACAGAGTAGATACCACCTGAAGTTCTAGCCTGTGCTCTAGAGTTTACATGATTTTCCCAACCCACAACTGGGTTGTGTGGGGTTGTGCCCTGGTCTAATAGAGGCATAAAAAGGAAGGAAAGATCATCCTCAAAGGATGATCTCAAACTTAAATGATATGGGGGCCACATTACATAAAATGTGCTAACTGGGGGGCCACATTCATTCCCACACAAAAGGCAACAAATATTAAAACTGAATTGAAACTGAAAATTTTATATGAAATATATTGGGTAGCATTACTCAATATACACATCATATTCCTGCTGTGGCAACCAGCTGTGTTTCCTGTTGGCTGGTGACCATATCATCCAAACTGGGGCACTTTTGAGAGTGATAAGGGGATGCTGAAATAATTAAATAATAAAACATAAAAAGTATATAAATTTTTGGAATATTTCTTTAGTTCTGTGTTTCCCATTGACCTCAATGTCTATCCCAGCAGCACCTCTGGCAGTTCCAGCTGTGGTTCTCCATGTCATTGCTGGGCAAGCAAACTAGCTGGTTCAGGGGAAGCAGAATCAGAAGGCACACAAGCCAACGCTTTGGGGGAGAAGCTGAGGCTGTGCCAGGCACCCTTTCTCCATATTACCTCCTTCGTGGGGACACTGGACAGCTGCTGTCTTCTACCTTGCAGCATGGCTTGAGCAGCTCAGACTTCACCTTTTTCATCATTTTTGTGATGCTTTATTACCCAATGTTCTTCACCTGATTGCATTTTCACAGGATATCAGCCATGATACCAGGAGATTTCGATTTGCACTTCCGTCACCAAAACATATCTTGGGCTTGCCTATAGGTAAGTATGGCCTTAGTTCCTGGTGCAGAGCCCTTTCATTGGTGCCCATGCCCCAAAATCTCTGAAAAGCCCTTCTAGTGAAGCTTGTTTGACATTGAAGCTGTTATTTTTTCAGTGCTGCACAAAATCTTTTATTAGTTATTTCCTTGAAATCATAAATGATTTGAATATTGAGCAGTTGTAGAATAAATACTACAGTGTGTAAGGACTCTTAGAGATAACAGTCTGCTTTTCAAAGGTATAGGTCAGCATTATAGGTTAAGCTAGTAGTAGACCAAGTTAATAATGCTCAGTTGATGCAGAGGCCTGAAAGTTAATCCACAATATCTTATGAAGTCACTCTATATCATACTGAGTAGCAGAGTGGCTCCCTGTTCTCTGCACAGCTGGGTCAGTTTGGGGCACACGGTTAAATGAATGGAATGAATGTGATGATCACCCTTCAGACGGGCAGTCCTTTCTCATGGTGGAGCAACCCACTTACTGCTTCATTCAACAACTCTCTTAGCTGGGTGGTCTCTCTTAGGCCTAAGACATGCTTAGGTTGGAACTCAATCACACTGTAGGGAAAGCAATCAAAGTTGCAATCCTGGGCCAGTTTTCCTGGATAAATCGTATGGAACAGAGCTGGCTTTATTTTTAATTACATGTGCCTAGGATTCTGCTGCAGAACAGCTTGCAGTTCTGGGAAATATGGGTAGGGCATGGCTGATAATGGTCCAGCTGTATTGCATTAGTGTCTGAACATGCTCAAACAGGCATCTTTTCCTATGGCTCTGTCACTCACATTCAGTGAGGGATATATGTGACCCTGTCTTTCTTACAGTATAATATATTGTGCCCAGATTTCTGTCCATTCTTTGTTAGATGACTTGCTTACCTCCCACAGTCTGACTTGCCTTATTAGCAAGTTCTTTTATTGCAGGTGTTTATATACTGCCCTTCAGTATATAATAATAGGGATTGCAAAGTAAAATAATAAAGTAAAACACAGATGGAATAGGCGTGAAACTACAGCAGGAAGCTGGCACATATTTAAAACTCATCTCTCATTAAAACCCAGGAAGAATAAAAGTTTTCAGCTTTAAAGTAGCTGTCAGTCATAGCTTTTCCAGGCGCTGCATGACTCATGGATGGTGAGGACATAGATGACAAGGACTTACTAGTGCTCGTTCCTTTGGCTGCATCTGGCTTCAAGGATAGATTTTGGGCCAGAAACAGGTTAGGAACCTATGTAGATGTCTTAGCACAAGCGATAGATCTCCAAGAACTCCATATTAGAAGGAATCCTAGCATTTGTATTGTGTAGCTTTGACAGTGATTGCTTTTAGCTGTATTTTAGTGGTAGGCATTCTAGTGTCATCAAGGTATTTTGAATTGCAGACCCAAATATTGGGGGTGAGAAGGCATAAGGTTGCCTTCCTTCCGTTTATCTTTCCTTAGTCCACTCTAGATGGGCTTAAGGGTGTAGAGTCATACTTAACTTTTGCAAAAGGCAGAAACAGCCCAAAGTAGGTATGCGTTTAATTGCTTGATTGCAGCTGCATGTGTATTTTATTACAGCAGGCATGCTGCTGTGATGCAATGCTTTCAAGATATTCATTAATCTGTTCCCTGTATCTGCCAAACTGATGCCTTGAGAGAGGAGGTGGAATCAGGGGGAGAGACGAGTTAAGCCCTCGTCCTGAACACAATAGTTCTAATACCATTCAGGCTGCCATAGTTAATTAACACTTGCTCATAACTGCAGTCATGTAGTTAATGTCATGTTTGGTTTGGTTCTACTTTTTTCACAAGTTACACTTGGGACAGGCCACACCCCTGCAGGGTCTTCAGTTCACAGGGATTTGGATATTTCCAGATATTATTTTCTTATCACATAGTTGGAACTTACTTCTTCCTCCCACCCAGGATTTTCATGCTTATCTTCACAAGTACAGGAGATTCTCCTTCTTTCTTAAATAAATATATAAGAGCTGACATTTCTGTTTGGGGGTGAGAAGAATTGTGCTCCCAACCAATTTTGCAGATGTCATCAAGTTTGGAAATGTATCCCAAATTCTTTGCTTTCTTCTTTAATGCCATAATAAACTTTAGAATGGAATGGTCACTATTTTTCTCTAGGCCAACATATATACCTCTCTGCCAAAGTTGATGGTAACCTTGTGATTCGGGCTTACACTCCAGTTTCTAGTGATGAAGTGAAAGGCTATGTTGATTTAATAATAAAGGTAGGTTTAAGCTGTTTTGACCAGGTAACATAGTCTGTTTTAATTGCTACATTGCTCAAATAAATTGTACCCTAATACTCCAGTTACATAATATGAAACTGAAGATCAATAAGTCAAATTAAGAAACAAACAAAAAACAGTACACTCTAATTTGTATCTAGAAATTATCTTTGAATATATGGTTGGAGAACCGGGCAGAGTTGTTCTGGGGATAAAGCATTGAGTCAGACTGAGAAGGACCGTGGGTAAATGATGAAAAATCTATTTCTCTACAGCTTATTTAATTCTGTTAACTTTTTTAACAAAACCAATGTGCCTATGTACTATAGATGCTGGACTTCTCAAAAATCTGGGGAGTCCTGATTTGAATCTCTTGTCCATAATAAAAGTAAAAAATGATGATGCATGTTGACAGACTAAGTATCAAAAGACAGAGTGTGACAGAAATTGAGTATTTTTTAAATATTACATATCTGAAATTTGAGATTAAGGCCCAGGGTGAATAGTCCTTCTTACCCACACCCTGTTTGGTCCTGCCTATATGTATAATGAAGAAATAATACCACCCAGAGTTAAGTAAACAGTTTATTCAAAATTACTCTGAAGTAATCTTGATAATGTTTTGGGGGTTATTTATTTTTATTTGCCATATTTATGTCGCTGCCCTGAGACACACATTCTCTGAGAACTCACAAAACAAATCTAACGTTAAAATCCACTACAGTATAAAACAATTATACTTAAAACAGGGTTATACAGAAAGATGCTGAGGGTGGAGTACGTGTTCTTCAAAAGGTTAATTAAAAAGTTCTTTCGCTGCTATGAAAAGATTGTTCATGTGTCTTCAGGTGAATTTCTCTGGGGAAACTGTTCTACAACTGAAAAGGGCTTCTCATTAGAGCTTTCTATGCCTTGCTATTATGCAGTGACCGAAGGACCTCTAAAGACCAACTTATAGTTTAGCTAGATGTGTATGGAGAAGGGGGTGTTTTAGGCAATTTGCTCCCAAACAATTTTGGGCTTTAAAACAAGTATATTATAAACAGGGCCTACAAAATAGGGTAAAAAATACGTAATTGGCTAAAAATAATAGTCTTGGTTAATACTCTTGTAACCATATTGAGGATGAAATTATTTGCCCTCAGCACTGCAGTGAATTTGTTTTACGGAGCATAAACGTGAGAAACAAGTTTTTTCTGGGTTCTAATTCATGGCTTAGGTAACAATAGAGAATAGGGTTTTTTTTCCCCAGGGCAGACCACCGTCACCTGAATGTAAAATGGTACAATTATTGCATATATGTGTATTCTTTCTAGGTTTACCACAAAAATGTTCACCCCAAATTTCCTGAAGGTGGAAAGATGTCCCAGTACTTAGACAACATGAAGATTGGTAATACCATTGATTTCAGAGGGCCTAATGGGCTTCTGGTATACAAAGGATCAGGTACTATTTCATTTTAAAGTCCCAAGATGTATAAAATGGCTAATGGATGTGGTCAGTTGCATTTGAATAAATAAAAGCGATAGGAAGATGATGAGAGAGATAACCTGTCACAAGTGGAACGTGTCTTAGGTCTTTTGCCCGTGTAGTTGATTTAGGGTTGTCTGTGTGTGCTTCACAGCCATTTGAGCTACAATGATCCCCAGGGGAATTTGGAATGCATCTTAGGTATTTTACTAAGAGCATCTCCAACTTTAGCATATTCTCTTCCCCCCCAGCTGTTAATGAATACCACCTTTTACATATACATAGTTAATCAAGAAAAATAATTGAAATAATTACATGTAGTTGCTATTCCTGGGGATAGTTTCACAACTTTGGCAATGCTTTCCTGCTCAAACTGAGCTACAATAGAATCATACTTTCCCAAGTAAAGAGTAGGCCACGGTGGATTGTACTTTGTATTTTTCATCATATATTGCATAATTTGTGTAGCAGTGTCCAGCAGCTTGAATCCAGAGATATCTTGTATGAACCCAAATCTTGTGCAAGACGGCCCCACTGACATGTTTGTCATATTAACCCTAGTCATGTTATTATGGGTGGCTGTTGTTCTGAGAATAGACTTGAAGTCTGTCTGCAGGTAACTGTAGTTGTAAGGAGAGGGCAGAGAAAAAAAATCTTCTACAATCCAAATTCAGCTTATCTCTCTCTAGACAGAAACATGTTACAGAGTATACACTTTGTGTTAAACTGGTACTTGGTTGGTTTGCTTGTTTGTGGCTTAGTGTGTTTTGTGAAGCCACCTATGGGGTACAACTATAGTTTATGACAGGAGCATGTAACTTTTTTAGGCCAAGAGCTGCATTTGGCCTTTAAACAACATAGTGGATGGGGGCAGTATAAAACTGATTTCATTTATATTAAATGGAAATTAAATGTGATTAATATGATTACCACCCAATTTAATAAAATTCCCTTTTTGTTACACTAAACGTGGTATTTTGGGAACAGCTTCTGGAGGTCTCAGGTCCAGCTATCAGATCTGAGCTGCAGAAATGTAAACCACCATTAGATGGCAGCAAAGAGTTACAGAACATTATTACTCTGTGCTGCCATCTAAAGGTGGTTCAGATGTTTCCAGCTTAGATCTAGTAGCATTGTTTCAAGGGTCACATCAAAGCTTCCAGGAGCTGTAAACCACTCTGGAGATTCAGATTATACTCTTTTGGATTAGTGTTTAGTCTTATGTGAGCTCAGGCATCTGTGGCTTATTCAGCAAGCCATTAAGCTAGTTCCAAATATACATCTAGCCTAAGTCTGCTTATGTGAAGGATGGCCTTTAGCGTACAGGTTTTCACTCTCAGAAATTGACATAATATTGCAGATTTAACAAACAGTAGTGTATACAACTGTGATTCAGAGCTTTGTATTGGTTCAATTTTGTTTGAATTGATGCTTGTAATTTTACACAGGTAAATTTGCTATCAAATTGGATAAAAAGTCTGAAGCGAGGATAAAGTCTGTTAAGCACCTCGGGATGATTGCTGGGGGAACAGGTAGGTATTCCTTGTTTTGGGAATAGAGGGGTTTGAATAAATGTTAAAAAATGAACTTCCTGATTTTGATGTATCTCTAAAAGACCCTTAGCTAACTAATATGTATTATTCTCCTCTTTACTACAAAAGAGTACACACAGAAGACCTGATCAGGACTTAGCAGGGTGTAGCAGATCTGACATACACCTTAATTTGCTTCTGATTTAGACAATCATATGTGGAATTGTCTTTAAAAGTGTTTGAGAACTTAACCTGGTCCAGAATACTGCTTAATAAGCTGTCTTTGTGCCCAGTTCAGAGTGCTGATTATGACATAAAGTTCTAGACAATTTGGCACATAGGCTATTGAAAAGCCACATTTCTATTATGAGCCTAGGCATTCTTTGAGATCCTTAAAATCACTTTTCTATTGATCCTCTTTTACATTTGAATATAATTTAATATTGTGTCATTAGCCATGAATCCTACCTGTAGCTCCGAAGCTGAATGTAAAGTTAAATAAATATTGCAGAACTGAATAATTTAATATAAAAAAAGGAGCACTTCCCAGTGACTGAAAACAGCGATATCCTCTTGGAGAAAGTATTTAATAACATTCTTGAATCTCAGGAATTATTGGTTTATCTATCATCTCTCCCTCTCATCTTAGAAATTTATTCTGGAGAATTAAATCACCTATTCTGACTATTAAAAAGCACACATTTGTTGTACCTTGCAGTCCTTTCATGCTCACACAAATGCACACCTAGTTTTACAGTTGACAAGGATGGGGGTAATATCAAAACGTTATGTCTTTGCTTTTGGGTTATGGAAAAACATCATCTCATTCTAAATCTTGGCTTTGATAGGAATTACTCCAATGCTTCAGCTGATCCGCCACATCACAAGGGACCCTACCGATAAAACAAAATGTTATCTCCTTTTTGCTAATCAGGTTGGTTGACTTATGTTTATTTGCTTTTCCTTTTTGTGCAATCACTATAAAAGCAACTGGGCCGCCAGCAGTTGCTTGGACATCTGTGCCATCCTCCCAACTGAGTATGAGAAGGGTTTGCTCACAGCTCTTCCTCTGTGGAGAACATTAAACATCAAAAATACTCTTTCTGGCTCCCATGGAAAGTTGGCTGCTTTTGACTTCAAAAAGGTGTGTGTGAGAGTGGCGAGGTGGCTAGGAAGAATTGTGGAAGGAGTAGCCTCCTCACCTTCTTATGTGCCTCTAGTTTAAGACTGAGATATGCCAAATCAGGTGCTGATGTAGATTAATTCCTCTTACCCCCATGTGTTCAATGGAAAGGGATTATTGTTACTATGTTGTTATGGTTGGTCGCACAGTCAGCCAGAAGTTTAGACTGGATTTGGCATTTTTATCCACTTATTGAGTCCTTCTCAAGCACCTGGGATAGGCAGATGTTGTTTGATGGTGTTAAAGGCATCGTTGCAGGATGTAAGCTGTTCCAAGTAAAGCTGCTGCTGCTGTTCCTCCTCTTTCTCCTCCTCCTCCTCCTCAATGCTAAATTGCATGTTTAATTGATAGAAGCAGCATAAGACCTTGTGCCAGATACTGTAAATGAAATCCCTGGTGGTGATGGTAGTTTTCTGGTTCTGCAGAATTGCTAACATCTAACGTTAACCACACTGCCCATGAAGTAAGCCAGTCTACTTGGGAGTAACTCATTTCTAGGCAAGGTTGTGTAGGCTGCTGTACTAAGGGATATGGCGTCCAGCCTTTCACAGCAAAGGGTACAGATGAATACCAGAGAAAAGAAAGAACATATAAAATAAGTTAAGAGTCCTAGGTCAAAAGATAAACTAACAATAGGCTGTGTCAGCCTACATACTCAATTATGAATGGATATTTGACTTTTGGTTGGCAGACAGAACAAGACATATTACTGAGACCAGAGCTTGAAGATGTAGCTGCAAACCATGCAGACCAGTTTAAATTGTGGTATACTTTGGACAGACCGCCTCAAGGTAAGCTGTTATTGCTCAAAGGCTAAATGAACTCTTCTGGTATACAACCAATTTAAGAATAGTGTGTATCTCTATTGCAGTCATGTGAGAAATTTGTCTTGATGTGATGCACCACTTTTACCAAACTAGAGTTGAATTTTTGAATTAATTGCCTTTCCTGACTGAAATTATTACTATGATGTACTTCAAGCACCTTTCCATTGTCATTTAAGTAATACAATATCAGATATTAAGCCTTTATAAAAAATTACTTGAGAGGTATACTGTCATTTCTAAGTAATGGATTGCCTATCATGATTAGCGATAAATATTTTTTAATGCGGGAAGGTGAAGAGTAGCATAAGATGCACAGTGGGAAACCATCAGTTTATAATGCAGTCTTTTTAGTTGTAGTAATAGTAGCCATTATGTGTGTACAAGTCAGTAACAGGTTAAGGTTACGATTCTGTCTTCGAAGGTATGCTAATGTTGCTATGAAGCAGAGGTACACAATCTTGGCCACATGTGTTTCCTGGGGTATCTCCAAAAGATGCTGTCAGGTTTTCAGTATGGTATGAGGAAATTACTAAATATATACAGAGAATAATCATTTACTATGTAAATATAACATTCAGATTAAATGGAATCAAGTTTGGTTAGATTGAACCCCCCTTTGAAATGAACGGAGGAGCCCTTCTAGGTGACAGCACCATGAGTCCATGCAGTACTATCTTCTATTTACACATATAAATACTGTAATGCATAGCTGGTATTTTCTGGTTTGTTAAACATAGCCATGAAGCTTTCTCCTTTATTTTTATTGCAGGATGGAAGTATAGTTCTGGCTTTGTTACTGCAGACATGATAAAGGACCATCTTCCTCCCCCTTGCGGAGACACGTTGATTCTTATGTGTGGACCTCCACCCATGATTCAGTTTGCCTGTCAGCCCAACCTTGAGTTTCTGGGATATTCAAAAGAAAGCGTATTTGCTTACTGAACTTGAAGTTAATTCATTTAGCAAATGTCATAGATACTACGATTATGCAAAACATTTGAGGGTACACTTTACAAAGTGGGTTGATGTAAGCCAAGTGTTCCTCCTTGAAGCATTAAAACAACCAGGGTCACTACAGCTAACTTGAAGAATTTTCCCAAATGTGCGCATGTGTTTTGTGCACGTACAACTGCTTTGATTGGCTGGCAGTCCCAGAGAAAGCGTTGTCTGTGCAAGAACACACATGCCAGAGATGGCTGGGGAAACACTTGAGAGGAACTGTGCTGAGGACACTTTTCTCACACTAATGCATTTGGCAAAGTACCCCTTTCTAATGCTTGGCACAGCCTTAATAAAATGTTATGAACCTTTTTGCTTAAATAAAATGTTGATACATTTTGTGGGCTCTGTATTTCCATGTGATTTTCTTGTTGCAATTTTTATTAGTGTATAAAGCATGAACTGCTTTTGAAACAAAGTTGGCTATGGATTAGTTGCAATGGACAGAAGTAGGGATCCTGTAGCTTCCTGTAACCTCTGAAGCCCCTTTTGGTATCCTTTGGAGCTTCTTCTGGCCACAGTTGCTGAAGCTGACTTTAGTTTCTTGCCAATATGAAGGAAAATCTACAACATGCAGTTTTTTAAATGTATAATTAAAAAGTCAAGTTCTGTTTTATTTAAAATATGACCAAAAAAAATCTGATGGCGGTTCTTGTCTACAATAGCCAATTTAAATCCAGTTCTCCTTCCCCAAATGTTATGACTCCAGCTGAATTTCACAAAGCCATCGGCACACCAAGCCATTCCTAGAGAGAAAAGATGCTCCTCACCTTCCTTGATCTGACAAAATCCTAGTCATGAAGTTCTTTATTGGGTAGTCTCTGATGGGAGAGAAGCAGGGATGCATTTAGCTTGCTGTTTCTTGTAGGAAAGATGGTGGCCATGTAAGAGAGTCATCTAATCTTCCACCAAAATGTTTCTCTTCTGAATCAAGTATGCAGTTTGCATGTGCAATATTTAGAATAACCATGCAACTATAGCACTATTTCCTTTCATAAACTTCACACCAAGCTATTGGAGAGAAATGTGCCTCATACAGACCAACTTAATAGCTATAAATACTACTAAGATTGACATCACCTAATCACGTGTGACAGTATTTGGAGCTTAAGCATTTTCCACAGAAAAATTTAATGATATTTGGGTAATAATGAAGACAAGCAAGGAAATTATAAATATTTTAAATATTGTTCTCATGCAGAACTTTATATCTCATTTGGGTTCAAAATATTCACTCTGCAGCAGAGAAATCAAAATCCTGCCATTTACTGATGTGAGTGAGATACTTTGATTCAATTGGTAGCCCAAATATGCTTCATCACTCATGTGTCACTTCCCGGGAACACCTGTACACATGCTTGTAATACAACAGTTGCTTTTCTAAAAATTTTGTACATTAAAGCTTGACATGTTTGAACATGCAATATTTTAAATCCAGAATTATACAACAAATAAAAATATGTTCAAAAGACTCATAAGTCTGAAAGGGACAGCTTCTGGATGGGTATTGAGCCAAGTCTCTGCAAGTTACCATCGACTATAACATTCAAAGCCCTGTTACTTAACTGTGAAAGGTGGGCTGGGAGCACAGTATGAATTTGGTGGTATCTTCAGGTTGAATACTTCTGCAGGAAGAATATACTAAAAATTGTGCTTTTGTTAGCAACAACTTGTATCGGGAATGTATTTTGCAAACAAGGAATTTTGCCACCAGTAGGTGGCACACTTGTATAAGAACATTTAGATGATCAAGGTTGCATCACAGAACAGGCTACAAGCCTCTTAAGACAGATCAGCAAAGATTTCCACAGAAAAATATTCAGAGAGTTGCTGATGGCTACCCAAACCAGTTTTGAAACAGAATAGAGTTGAGGTGTGCCCAAGAATACCTCATTTCAAGAGGAAACTGAAGCAGACAATAGAGCACTGCTGTTAGAGTTAAGAAAGAATAACATGCCAGATTCTTATTATTGACAATATTGCCCTGATGTGGAAACCTTCTGTTCTTGCACGCCACTGAAATATTACTAATCTCCCCACCCCCCCGGAATAAAGATGAAGGTGAACTTGGATACTCCAAATCAAAAGAGTATTAGGGAGATTTTGGTAGATTAGATGTAACTACCAATCCCCCCCCCCCAAAGTTGCCATAAATTTTAACAAAATCTTGGTATTTAGCTATACATTTTGAAAGTCTGTTTTTTTGTACTGAGAACTGGAAAGTCTGAAGAGGTTAGTTCTTTTCTATCAAACTGAATTTTTCTCTCAATTTTTGTAACTTAAAGTATCATTAAAATGTGATAGTTGGAAGATGCCTTTAAGAATTTCCTGCACTGGAAAATAAGTAGAATGGCAGAGCAAGAAGTCCAGCTTGTGGGCATTTGTTTGGTCCCGTCATTGTTTTCATACTTCCCATTAATTTCACTTGATAGAATATTCCAAAGAGTTTTTAGCTTTCCGGTGATTAGGGCAAAAATAAACTGATATGCAAGGCTGTTATGTGTGGAGTAGCGATCGGCTTTCTGGCCGAATGGCCGTGGCCTACACTGTGGCCATTCAGCCCAAAATCTCACCACTGCTTCATTGATGCCATGAAAGCCTACACCAATATGCTGCTATGTGTGCTTCCTTTGAATTTGTAAGTCAAACAAAATGTAGAATATGTTGCAATGTAGTTAAGACACATTTTTGGTGTTGCATGAATTAATAGGCACACTTAAATCCTTGAACAAAGCACAATCACCTCTAGCTCCTTCATAGTCTCTGCCACACTAGAACAATGAAATGTTATACAAATAACTAATGTAAGTTTTTGTTAACCTGTCACTACTTAGCCCTGTAACAAGGGTACTTGTACGCAGCATGTATAGTTCAAAATTAGCAAGATGGAAGGAAGACAAGAATAATTGCATAGAGGATAGGAATGATTTGTTCATCAAATATTGATGAAGCTTCCAGTACTCAGTGATTGATACTCATTGAGACTACAGTAAAAGTGGTCAAGAAAACAGTGAGTGTATCAGTTGGTGGTAGCATCTGGTTAAAGTCCAGCTTCAAAAGCCAAGCAGGACCAGACCTGGTTAGTTCTTGAATGGGAGAATACCAGGGAATACTAAGGTTGTAGACTAGCCTGGAAAGTTTAAAAACAGTGCAGAAAAAGGTAATGGTAAATGACTTCCACACTCCTTCAAAGGTAGCTGCACAGTTGCATCTATGTAGTCATCAGGAGTTATGGTCATCTTGATCATGACTATCTTTTGAAACAATGAACACATTTAATACATAAAGGAATCACTTTTTCAGTACCATAAACTAGTTCAGATTCAATATAAATCATTGCACAAATGACACAGATGATAAATAGTAGCTACAACTTTGGGATCTACTCCAGTTCCATTACTTTGCACCATAACCAAATCTTAGAATTAGAAAATATAGAAAAAATGGATCACTATTAAATTACTCATGTTGATTAAAATAGGTAACAATAGACCCTTGATTTCCAAATTTCTAGAAAAATTGCATAGTTCTTTGAATGCATGTTTTAACTATCTGGACCATGGAATTTACCTGTGTGTCGTCTTTTAAAAGAGCACTGAACTTTCACATATTTTAGTGGCAAAGAAGATGATACATTTCTAGGTATAGCACCCAGCCTGCATGAGTTTTCTCTCATAATAAAAGAAAGGACTTAGTGTTGTTATTCCTGTGGCATCTTCATCTCCAGTCCTCAAAAGTTGATGTTAAAAATTGATCGTTGTTCAGCATCTGATCTTGGCTTAACATTGTCTGGAAATTAAAAAAACAACAAAAAAACCAATATATTTTGCATACACTGAGGAGTTACAGAGGTCAATCAATATCTACAGTCAGGTATACCAGGAAATGAGAAAAAACTGTTTTTACAATAATAATTTATGAAGCATTTTCCCATTCAGAAGCCTAGGCTCCTTCATTCCTCCCTTAAAAGATCCAAAACTCTGAAACTAACACGGAATTCTCTTTCATTGACTGCAGTGAAAAGAGAAAAAATAAAAATAAAGGAGCTTGATAGATCTAAAGAGTTCCCTCCCCCCTTGCACGTGAATGATGGTTAATATTATATAAACCTGGCTAATTAATAATGATCAATAACAGAAACTTTACAGCCCTATTGAATTCATACATACCGTGAGGTTGTTTATTCCTCGAGAGAGCTCCCCTATTTGCATTACTGTTCCTTCTGAATGGTCCATCTGCAAAATCATTTCAGCAACCAGATGAAATCAAAGCAGCCATCCAATCTTACTCAAATCTGCATGCACAAGTTTTAGGGTAGCTTAACCATTCCACATATATGACACATGCCTCTGTCTGCAGGAAACTGAAGTTGAATTTCATAGCTCCCGCCCCCGAAATATTTTCATGTTGCACATTATCCATAACCATAGATCTGACACCACTGCATTTAACATACAGTTAGTAAGTTAGTGGGACCAAAAATGAAAAGTGAATTCATTGCACAATTTTTTTAAAAAAAAAGTTGTATGTGTGATACTGTATTTTTAAATAAAAAGAATGCAACAGAGCTGTTTCCACCAATCCAAAAAGCGTTTCTTGATCACATGCGCAGTTTCAAATGCTTGTCATGCTATTTTAATAACTCAAACATTCATGTTCATTGTTTAACATGTAAGATATCCATTAATGTGCTCAATGCTTCATTATTCTAAAATATATACTTATTTCACCAACAGTTTTTCATCTGGCTCCATCATTTAGTGATGAAAATTATCACTGTGTAACAGAGAAAGTAAGAATATGTCGATTGTTCTCTTAACCCCACCCCTGATGTCCATTGTAAGGCCTGGATTTCTGCATTCAGAGAAATTGATGGTGATGGCAGTTTGTTTCTTAAACTGATTAGGGTGCCTGTATTGTTTAGATCCCTGGAAGATTAGGGGCTTAAATACAACTATTACAGCTAATTCTTGTGGTCTATTTTGGGTAGTGCTTTTCAAACTCTCCCTTCCCCTTGCAAATTTTAGAAATTAGAAACTGACATTTATCAACTAGCCTTACTCGGGTGTGTGGCTTTTACCTAAGCCAGTTTTCTTATCTACCCATTCAAGATAGCCTGGGTTTTATTTTGGTGCGCACTTTTCTCTAACAATATGCTGTATAAATCAGCCTTAAGTGACACCCAAATAGGCATACTAGCAAATAATACAATTGACTGCATGTGTTTAAGGATTCTTTCAGCCACAAGGGCTAGTACCTGGGGCAGCTCCCTGACTATGTAAGAGCAGAGTTTTCCTCCCATTTAAATAAACATTTTTTGCAGACAAGACAGCTTCATCTCTGTATTGCTTTCTCTGAAAAAAAAAAGTAGTTGGCAAACTTATGTACTTGTTAATACGATTCTAAGATAGTCCATGGATGTTACTTAGCTTTATATACAGTACTTGCCAAGCCAATGCACAGGGATATTCAACTAAATTTTGATGTCTTGCTTTAAATCAGTGTTCTGGATGAGGAATTCTGGGAGTTGAAGTCCACACATCTTAAAGTTGCCAAGTTTGAGAAACACGGCTTTAAATGAATCAGGACAGAACAGATTTGTCTTCAAGCAATGCAGTTCCATGGTTTCCAATCACTAACCATCACTGCTTGAGGTGGGCAGTGGAATAGCATACAACTCCAAACTGCAAGCTGTCAGGGATCATAATATTTAAAAGATGCAAATTCCAAGTTTAATTTTCATTTATTTTATGGTATTGCATGTATGCACAGCTGAGAAGCTTTCCTGTACATGATTGATTCTTGTAAACTGGACAGATCTTTTATCCCCACTAGCATGGCTCTGTTGTTTTCAGAATTTGAAATGGAAAAGAGGCTGAGGACAACAGTTAGGAGGCTAAGAAAATGTGAGGGAGAATCTATACTTTATTAGTATTTAATTTCAAGAAGCTCCAGGAGTTTGACTGAAAGCTGTGTTTTAAAAATAAACAAAATGTTAAAGCAGTTCTGATTGTATACAAATCAAACACATAATGAACAAATTACATGCTTTAAATAAAATGGAAAAGCAATTATATTTTAAATGAGAGAAAAATGGAACATGTTAGAGGTAGTAAATCATGCATATGAAAAAAAACCTTTTGCAATTAATCTTGTGATATTACCATAATTTTTCTGATCAGTTTTATTTGGAAATCAGAATAAATGGAAGTTTGCCTTGCTATCTTACACCTTGCAGGAAACTCTAAGTTCTCCATTTTTCAGGTTTTTAAAAATTACTTTACACATGTTTCTATCCAGTATTCCTTGGGAGAGCAATTTATAAAATCAGTCTAAGTAACATTTTAAAGCATAATTCAATCACGAAGAGAATAATCACAACAAAAACAATTAGACATTTTCCCAAGTAAATATTTTTATTGCTTTCTTGATGAAATTGTATTCTCAGACTTTTTTTTAAAAAAAAGATCATTAGACCTATATTTTTAATGTTCTATCATATGCATTCACTATGGTGCAGACACTGCACAATTAAAAGAGCATATTTTAATAAAAATATACAATCCAGCTATGTTGTCAAGAATAAAATAGGTCATCCTTACCACTGTGAACATGAAAAAGCTAATAAAAAATTTTAAAAATTATCGCTGGGCATTATAAATGAAATATAAAGAACTCTGTCCTGCAGCAGCAGCGCAGAGAGCACCCATGCTGAATTATAGCTTTTAGGTGCCTTGAATGTCAGCTACACCCGCTGTGTAAAGCTTTTTCTTTTCCTGAAAAAGGGCTTGAGAAGATGAGTAGGATGAAACAGTTGCAAATGGGGGAAAAAAAATTCCAAATGATATTTTAAAGATTCTTCAAGCTTCATCCCAATACATTCATTAAAGACATGCAGATGTATTATGTATTTTAGTTAAATTATAAGAAATGGTTATCTGTAAGTTCCAGAATGCATCAAGAGGATGAAAGGTGAGTGTATCAGTCCACCTGGCCCACCTGATCCAGTTTGTCTAATTCTTTGTCAGGGAGTGCATTATGCACTTTGTATGCACCGTAGCTCTTCTGAGTACCATTCGTTGTACTTGTATCCATAGGGCAAATATAATCTGTAGATTCATCAAACTTCTTTTTTCTTAAGTTTCCAAAATGTGAAAATCCAAGTTTCTTTGGCTATCAAGAATGAAGGGTAGGTGGGGTGGAGAGACAGAAAACATTGTCAGAAAATCACAACAGAGGAAGTACAGAAAACACTGATAGTTAAAAATGACCTTTGCTAAATACTAATACCTTTCATGGACTTTACAAGATTAATTTGAACATTTTCATTGATTTTCTCAAGTTCCTGTAGGAAATTGAACCAATGCATTAAAAGGAAAGTGGAGGATTTTGTCTTCACATTTATGCTGAAGAGAATGGTTAGTAATGGACTCACTGACATCATTTCTTTGGACTCCATATAGGAGTCTTTATAAATCAGAGCATAACTGATTACCATTTTAGCAAGAAGTGTTAACGTATCCTTTAAAAGGAAGGAAAGATGATAGTTCAACAAAGTCCTAAAACAATTTATTCTGTTCTTCCAAGGCCACAATGTTTGCAATCCTAATATAGAATTCCAGGACTCATTAGACGAAGAATCAAAATTCTGGAATACGCCTCAGAGGTTATCTAGCCCAACTTCCTGTTAAAGGCAGATTCTCCAATGCAAGATACAACTACAACATCACTAAGTCAGGTGACTATCCATCCCTGGTTGATAGCAGGAAGACAGGCGTGACAGAAGCCAGGCAAGTCTTGGGTGGATGGAGAGACGTGAGACTAAAGTTTGTGCTGGCGTGACAGAAGCCAGGCAAGTCTTGGGTGGATGGAGAGACTGAGACTAAAGTTTGTGCTGCTGCCATCATGTTCCTATTCAACCTTCTAGGTACATTAAACTTAAGATACTTAAGGGCATACCTTTAAGTGCAATAATTCACCTACAGAAGAAAAACACATCCCAGCTGCAGAATGTGTGATATGCAAAATAGCAGCATAATATAAATGCCTCTTTAAAACAAGCAAACTACTGCACTCATTGCAGAGACACACACATGAAGGTTCGTGCATCTTACGGAGCCCCTTTCTTTCACTCCTGCTCCCAAATATCAGACCTCTCAAGCTGTACAAAACAAGATGGCAACAATCCCATGATTTTTTTTAAAAAAAACAAGCTTTAAAAAATCTGCAGAAGCATTGTTTCAGAAAAAAACATCACTGCAAGTGTACTGCACCATAAGGAATCATGATTAACATTCCATTCAACCTGACATTTCAACGGAAGACTGCAGTGCAATCCTATGCATGTTTATTTAGAAGTCAAGCCAATATCCACTTAGAAGTCTGGTAGCACCTTTTCTGCCTAACTAATTTAATTAAAAGGCATAAGCTTTCATGAGCTGCAACTCACCTCCCCAGCTCACAAAAGTTTATGCCTTTTAATTAGTTAGAAAAGCTGCTACCAGATTCCTGACTTTTTTCCACCATAGACTAACATGGCTCTCCTCCCATACGTCCACTTAGAAATAAACCCTACTACCCCCTCCCCCATTTTTGGGGGGGTGCCTTTGAATTGGCCTTGATACAAGTCCCTGCAGTTTTCTTTTTCTTGGCAATATTTTAGAATCCATTTGCCCTTGCCTCCTTCTTCCTAGGGCTGAGAGGGTGTAACTGGCTCAGTCACCCAGCTGGCTTCTATACCTTAAAGGAGGAGTGGAATTCAGGTTTCCCGTTCCTAGCCCAGCATCTTAACTAGGAGATCAGACTTCCTCTCAACTTTAACTTAAAATACTGTTTGCAAAATGAATGTAAGTAAGATACAATCTTGCCCTCAAGTCAGCAGGAAGATGTTTGCACCATTATGCCCTGGCTGGAAGCTATGCCTTTCTATCTCATGGATAATTTTAAGTACAGTATTTCAGTTACAGAAGAAAAGCCTGCAATAACCTCCAAATGCAGATGCTGTCACTAGAACCTCAAAACGGTTTAATAATTAGAGCAGATATTTTTCACTGGGGATTCTAAACTGGAATCATCATCCTCACTTAGCCAGATTTCCCAGAATTCTTTGGGATAAGTCACGAAAATGATTGACACGTGTTCTTAGTGTACAAAGAGCCTCAGTTTTTAAATAACACGCCAGTTATAATGAATCTTATTCATCGATTTAGAAATAAGTCCTACTGACCTGGCTCTCAATGAAACTCACTCTCAAGTGGATATAAGACTGCTGCCTAAGAGATTACTGACAGCTAGGAGGAACTCAAGCAGGATTTCTAAAGTTTGTATTATTTCTCTGTAGCCTACCCGGACTTTTGCAGTGGTAGTGAGAGCTGTATAAGCTGTAGATTCCATGATTTCCCTTTTATCTTGCTGAGCCTCTGGCCCAATGAGCACATTGAAGTTTGTGGTTAAGTGGCGTCTTAGCAGCGTCTTTTGAGGCGGAATGTTGAGGAGCATCGCCAGAGTATCTCCATTGAAACGGGGCTCCAAGATCTGTGGGGGAAACAAAGAACACGTGTGCTGCTTTAAATGTGGTCTCTAAGCAGCAAGGTATTCAAAGGCTATTCTGAGGGTAGCATGTTTTCATTGTTCTCTGCATATGCAGGATGTGTTACAGTATCACAGAGTCAGGAAGCAGCAGCACTTCATGTGTTAGCCATTATAATCTTGTTCCAGCAACTGTATAAAATTAACAGGAAAAATAAATTTTAAAAATGCCATTTTCAGCAGCACTTCTTTGGGATGTCAAACAAAAACATCTGTTTGGGATAGTTACAGGCACAGCTATGCATAAAGCTTGCAGTGCCGGATCTACAGGGTTAGTATACTCTTACATTTCCATAGGATCACATCTCTTAGCACTAGCAATAATGACGTGGATCCTGGAGTTGTTCTTCTGTGAATAGAAGGGATTTTGATTCAGCAGAATCTCCCAGCAGTGAGAACTTTGGGGAGCAGAGTTTTGCTCAAGGAAGCTAGGATCTAAGCCAATATGTTTAGAAAGGAGTATTGGTGTGTATGGTACTTTACAAAGAGATTAATTGCTCAATGGATTTTATAGTCTAATGATGAAAAGCAGCACAAGAGAAAGAAAGAACAGAAAAGTGTAAGAAGAGATGAATAGAATTTAGTAGGACTATATATACTTAATCGGGGACGTGGTGGCGCAGCGGCTTAATGACGCTGAAAGTTGCCGGCCAGAAATGGTCGAC